TGTAATTTTGGGGACCTGTAGGCCACATCATCCCCTATAAAGTTTTCCCAGAAAAAACAGTAGCCCTGAGAGGCTTCATGATAAACAAGTTGGAGGTTTTTTCTCATTTTTATCAGTTTATTACAGCAATAAAATTTGCTGTATAAATGAAATTTCAAACTTAGAATGACTTATTGAAATACCTGTTATATAAAGAGCAGAAAAAATATCAACAGGCACAGAGTAGAACTCTATACACAAAATTTCTGGGATTAAAAGCAATCTCCTACTAGTATGATGCAAGCCCCTTCTACTCCCCACTCATCCAATCCATGTTTTTTCATGTATTGTCAGATCCATTTAAAACACATTTGAGACGAGCTGCATATTGACTTTCAACATGTTGAAGTTTGAAATATCTAGGAAGCAATGTCATAAAATGGAAATGTTGCCAAAGACAGCAGCGTGTGAATATTGTGTAACCTGTCAAATGCTCACAAGCCAAACTGAAGGGTTCATCTCCAAAAAGCGACCATTGAAGGCAGCAGACACACATAGGGTGGTCGCACCAAAGAGAACTAATACAGATGGTCTGATGAATTACACACACACACCTTTTCCCATTTAAGTATAAATCACTGTATAGGATAAATCCAAAGAGCTCATTGTAGAGCAAAGCAGATAGCTGGAAGAAAGCACAAAAGCATTAACCTGTATAACCAACATAAGCAGCTAAAACTAATACTGCTTGCTCCAGCAAGTATTAAGAATTTATTCTACCTTTCTGCACAGCAACTGATTTCCATTAGAGCAAAGCATTTCCTATCAGACAAATTTCATAACCACATGACTCAAGATAGACTGTGTAGTAAACCCTTTGATAGCAATGCATTTGGAATACCACATCTGTTTATTTCTCCTAATATAAGTCAGTTATTTATGAAAACACATGCAAAGGACAGTTTCCATTTACTACTATTCCATGAGAAAGGATAGAAGGTACCAAGATTACAAGTGGATTGTTCCGAAATAAGAATTCTTTTATTTTACATATCTTTAAAATTGGCATGCAGGTGACTAAAACTACTTAATTGAACATTTAATTTTCTAAAAACCAGCTAAGAATATTCTTATGTGACATAATCTTAACAGAACAATCCTCTGTAAAGTCTTTTTGCAAATAGTGTTTTTCCATTATTGAATTCTTTGTAGATGTTCATCATAGCACTTTAATCTCCTTAGTTTCCAAAAACATCTCTTCCATTTATATTAATGGAAGATGTGCACAGTAAAAAAACCCAAAAACATTCCTGGTGTGAATAAGAAAGAATTCTCTTAGTTCTTAATGCATAAGATGCTGTGCCCCATGAACAATTAGTGGGGCTCATGTTCCTTTATGCCTCAAAGCTATTAAATACAATTCAGAGCTGTTCCTCACCCTCACTGCAGTAGTGCTTTAATTCTTAACCTCTGCTTATGTCAGTCACTGTTGCTTTTTAAACATTTGGCACTCATGTTAAATAACAGCCATGATGCCATGGGGCAGCGCTTTTTCAAGAGTTATTCACTTTCTTCTTTCCTCTTATTCCCCTCCTGAAACTGTCCACCTAATATACGAAGTCACGTAGGTCTCTCTCCACATAGTCAACACAACCACAAATATGAATATGATTTGACTAGTGGTGCATAAACTTGCTGTAACAGCTTTCACAATGTTTGACAAACAGCATCTATATTCTAAACCTCAGCAAAGTAAGTGCCACAAAAGAAAATGCAGCCTGACAAAGGCGTGTGCATGCAGCCACAGCTGCATTTCTAACTTGTGCACTCAGCCAGCTGCACTACACCTACATATATTGGCACATGCCAGTCTTCCAAGTCTAATAGTGCCTGATTTTCCTTAAGCAATGTCACTGGATCTCTCCAGCTTGGAGGAAATTTCAAGCTACTCTGGATCAGTTTCACCAGAAGTCAGGAAATGTGTGCCTTCCTCATCCCTTTACCCTCTGTTTAATGTGAAGAGTTACCCCTTTGCAGTCAGGATGTCCTGAAAACGTCCCTAATAAATGACTGGTGGTATAGAAATCCACCACTCGAGAGGCAGCAAGCCCCTGCTGCTCCTTCCCATTGCCAGGAAAGGGGAACCAGATCCTGCAAACCTAGCAGACTTCCCAGTGACAGAAGAACATCCTCACCTACAAACTCATCACACCTCAGCTTCTGCAGGTCCTTCATGTCAGGTTCTGCCCAGCCACAAGTTCCCCACGGCACAGAACTCTGAGATGAGCTCCTCACACTCATCTTCCCCCATCAGCGACCACACAAACTTCCCAAGCAGGGACTGAGCTAAGCCTGCACAGCTGCAGGACAGCCAACATTTGGCAGTGGCACTTTTTGCTTCATCCAAGAAGCCAAACCTGCTCACAACCACCAGTCTCAGCACTTTGAGACAGGGAAAACAAGGCAGAATTCAGCTATCGAGTACACAGACCAAAAAAACTCTAATAAAATCTATGCATCCCGATCATCAGTTTAATCTATACATCCATTGGTTGTAAATCATAAGCAGGATGAAGCATTTAAAGATAAGGTCAACTTTATTAGAGGAACCTGAAAAACTGGAATTTCATTTCAAATACAAGAAAAAAAAAAACAACCACTTTTAAGACTTTCCTCCTTTGCATTCCAAACTACACTATTTTGTAAGATTTAGATGTCAAGTATCAAAGAGATTAAAAACTCAATCATATCTTTGCATATCCTAGATCCAAAATATTTAGTAACAAAGTGTTCAGCTGTGAATTCTAGAGTTTTGTGATCATTTATTTTACATCAATACATGTTGCATTTCACACACCACTTATTCCTCAACCCTTTACTCAAAACATAAGCTCTTCGGCAGTGCGCAGAGTACTACTTACAACAGAAAAGTTATAAACATGAATATGAAAAAATCCGATTATATAAAACAGTATCAAATGTACTGTTATCTCGACAATGAAGGTAATTAATCTGATCACCTATTTTACTGGCCAATCTGAGTTACAAGAGACTTTTTAATTAGTTGATTTATATTGCCTAATCAAATAGGTGCCATTTTGTAATGTTTCTCATTCTTTATAATAAAATATATGAATAATTTTTGCGTTAGCTATACGAGTCCTCCTAAAGCCAGGTCTGTGTGCCAATAAAGAAATGTCTCCATAAACACTGAGATACATTGACTCATTATCAGGAGATGATTAAGGCTGCTGATCACATATTTCTCATGCTCCAGATAATCTCAGCATCATATAGTTTAAACACGATCACTAAACCTGCTCATACTTTCACCACACTGAGATAATCAGGCACACGATCCCCATCACAAAGGCTGGAGCATTCTCAGGGCTAAGATTAGCACTTTAAAGGCGACGCACAAAAGAAATGCTCCCTTTCAGCAGCAGAGACATCACACTGGGCTAGTTCTGATTTTTCTTGCATTTAAGACTACTACAGTTTAAAAACAACAGCATAAGATAAACACTAATGAGACTCTTTCCTTGAAATAGGTTCAAATGTCTCACAACTCTTATCATCATGATACTTGCCTTATATTTAAGTAATATTTTTTAACAATTCAGAATAGGTGGCAATTTATAGGAAATAGCTTCCCTTTTGGCAGCCTTAAGTATATTTGATGCTTCCCATCAAAAGACTGAAGCACATCCACATCCTGTCATAAGATGAATTAATCTTAAAAGCAAGTGTGCCCAGCTCAGGTTTTGTACAGGGAGATTTGTTCCTCAGCCCTTCTGCCCGAGAACAATAGTGACCCTGCACACGAGAACAATAGTGACCCTGCACACGAGAACAATAGTGACCCTGCACACCAGAACCATAGTGACCCTGCACACCAGAACAATAGTGACCCTGCACACCAGAACAATAGTGACCCTGCACACCAGAACAATAGTGACCCTGCACCCGGCGCTAGATCCTCTCAGCCCCACCGTAACAATGCCACGCTCAGCAACAACAACTAAAAAAAGACATTTTAAAGGACCTGTGCACCTCTCTCTTACAGCATGTACCTCCTGTAGCTGAAGCAAAAACCTATCTGTAAGCAGACAATATAAGCTTAAAAGTACCAATATTGTAGGTATTAGGCTGGAAGTCTTTTGGAAAGTAGTAGCCTTTACAGCAATTTCCAGATAGAAAAGTCACCTACACTGCTACCTGTGCATTTTAAAGCAACTCTTCCTCCTTTTGGAAGAACTGCTTCCTTAAATAAAGGCAGAAGGAATTCAGTACCCTGAGCTTAGTAGTTTTATTTCAGAGAAGGAAAAAAAAGCCACCTGTATATGCTAACACAGAACTCACAGCAACAAAAGGTGAACAAAAGCTGCATCAGGATTTGGCAAGACAAAGGCACATTGTGAAGCTACTTTACACTGACAACCTGTATAACTACGTGAGTATTCAGATATGAATGATTCAAATTTATGTTATAAGCTTGTATTATAACTTTTTATGAAGACATTCAATTTGTATTACGGCTGAGATTTAAAGAATAAAACAAGACCAAAGCAGGATGATTTCACCTTTACAAGAACTCACACGAACAAAAGTGCAATACAATACAGCAGGTGATTTCAAGCTCAATTTCCAAATGAAATAGTCAGGAGAAGGAAACGTTCACATACACACTATATAGAAAGCCTGCCAGCCTCAAAGCTTAACTTGTCATTTCAAGATCAGCTCTACAAATTAACACCACCACAAACTTTTCAAATGAACATATACAGTATCATTATGAATAAGGCTTAATCTGCACAATTTCTCTACGTTTCAACAAAAAGGGAAAGACTTGACACGACATCCATCATGAAACATCCAGGATAAAATCAGGAGGGGGTCTACATAGCAAACAAGATAAAATCCTGAGTGCCAATGCCATTTAATATGTATCAGGGTATTTTGCCACAGGTTAGTCTCACAAATAGAATTCCCACCTTATTATCCTCATTTCTCTCACTTACATGTATGCTGGAGAAAGTGGCGATGACCTGGATGTTTTAAGCACAGGAACTGGGAATTTCCAGATAGCAGGAGAGCTCGTTTTCCATTTCAATGGCATGTTGTCACCACGGTACTACAATAACAGTAAACAGCGTTTCCATAACAGACTACCAACTAGGACTTCCATTCCACACTCTACTGACACAGCAGTGGCTGCTGCTAAGAACAAGGAAATGATTCTGCCAATGCCCTTAAACCGATGCTTCCAATCTGTAAAACAGGGCTGTAAGGCATCTCCTTTTAAATCCTGCTGTCCCCTAAAGCAATATGATGATTCTATCCTTCTAACTCAACAATAGTGCCACCTCGTTAGGGAAGCACTGACTGCAGTATATGTTAAGAAAAAAAAGAAAAGACTGCACTCTGCACACCAGCATAATGCAGCTTTATTAAATAAAAGCAGCTAATTTTTAAAGTACTGTTTCTGATGTTATTGTTCTACCTTAACAGGGACACTGCAGCACTGTACTATATTCTCTTCCTATTAACCTCATTTCTGACCAATGGAAGCAGAAAAAAAAATGGGTTTCATATGAAAATGAAACAACATACCTACTCAGAATACACTTGTCATCCTCTGAACATTCTTCTTTTGAGCTGCAACAATACAAATGGGATATAAATCTCAGCATAGCCTTAGGCCACGGCTAATAGAGATCAGTGACTAAATTCAGCAGCCTGTTTTCCTCCTGTGCAAGCTCTGACCAAACAATACAAGAATGCCATTATGGAAAAAGCCCATTGCAGAAATCAGTCCTTCTAATCCATAGCTAGGAAGACAAAATAAAGCAGAAATCGCTGCAGGTTTCTGCATGCTCTTCTAATAGCTTCTGGTTCAGGATGCTCTCATTTTCCTATTCTCATTTCCAAGGAGGAAGAGCAAAATCTCATGCATTTTACAACACGATATGGGAACACAAATATCACTCTGTCTTCCGCAGTAGAGAAGCAGAGACTAGCAGGCTGTTAATAGCAGTCTTTGTAGGAACGCTATCAACAATCTAATTCTCAACGCCCCCCCAGCAGCTCCCAAATTGCCTCCAGAGCTGACGAAGCAGATGGGGCCAGGCAGGTCCCCATCAGGGACCACTCCGCAGCTCAGGGCTCTGCTTGGTGACCTCCCGGGGCTGACGACAGCGGGGAGCAGGGAAGGCAAGCTATTAAAAAGGGAATGGGGAATTTAATGGCATCTTATGCAGAAGCAGAGCATGTTTCTAGGGAAAAGAAGGCAGAGATTCCGCTATAGTGATTACCTTGCAGGAAAAAAATACAGCACCTCTAATGTATCGCCACAGCAGACCAAATCAACACTAAGATATTTAGTCTACAGATTTCAGAATAGTGTCTGTACAGCATGACAATTTTCCTATTCATCAGGACAGCTTAATCCTCTCATTAAAAAGCCAACACCCTGTCACGCTACTTAGCAATAAAGAATTGAACCAGGAGCTATTTCTATAAATGTCTATAAATGTATTCATTCTAGTAACATTTAACAACACTCTGATAGGGTTCTGTAACTGTGAAACATTTTAAGTTTCACTGTTACAAAATGTTTTTCACAATGTAAATTCAATTTTGGGATGAAATGACCAGTGAATAATTGCTGCTTGCGATCACCATTATTGAATATGTATTGAAAATAGTTTTGGGCAAGCAGTTGCCAAATCCAAAGACAAGGAATTAAAATAACACAGGACAACCTCACTCAAAACCAGATGCACCCCTTGGACAAACAACTGAGGGCCTCTCTCCCACTTCTCTGAAGTTCTAAATCACAAATGAGCAGCACTAACCCAGGCAGCAAATTTTTCACAGGAACTGGGATGCTGCTGCTGGGATGCTGAAGAGACACCACTGTGTATGACAATAGTGTTTATACGCTGTGACTATTAAGAAACACAAGTCCTGCAAAAACATCTATGCAGTTTTAGCACAGTCATAGTTTTAGCAAAATAATTCAAGTATTTACAAGCCAACAGGCAGGCTTGGCTACACACTTGGTCAATAATGTGTTCAGTCTCTCACACACACACACAACACCAGACTACTACACCGTGCCAGCTCTGCACTGAAGGTCTAGAAATCAGGTTGAAAGATTTTACATAGCAGCTATTATAATCACAAAGTTTTTTAAAAAAAAAATCATTAATTTGCATTCACACACTCAGCTTTGCTTTTACATTCACCATTATAGAGAAAGTGTCTTAAAATACAAAAAGCAAATAGTTACTGCCTTCCTCACACCGAGTGCAGCCAGTGCAACCACCTGGTAACTGCTTGTAAAGCCTCTGTCTCACTGCTCTACCACCCCAATAAGATCTTCACATGTTTTATTTATTAAGAGCAGCATGACTAAGAATGAGGTTAAAGACAATCAATGGACCCCTTTTACAGAAGTAACTCCTGAAATACCCTTTGGATCAGTAAAATAAAATCCAACTCAAGCCATAAAGTCATTCCCAAGCATTGACTGACATTGAAGTCAATCCACACAGGCACAGAAATCAGACTTACTTCTCACTTTTGACCCCAACAAGATCATTCACCCTAGAGGGCAACATGAGTCCTCAAATACCTGCTCTCCTTTGTGTGCTCCTGGTCCTACTAACTTTTCCACTTACTCTACAAACAACATAAATAAAACCTTAGCAGAAAAAACAATAAACAGTTTTTTAAAAGTACAGGAATTGCAAGCACTGCCAACCAAATCCCCTCCCAAAATCCAGCACAAACTACTCCACCAAACAGCCCATGTACAAAATCCAGAACTGAAGAAAGCAGCAGTGCCAGGTATTCTAAAAATAGGGAAATGCTTGTCACTTGCTAAAGAACAGCCATGTGAGAAATGAATCACCTATGAACACATAAGGAGAAAAAAAATAAATCAAATCCCATTTTCTTCCTGACAGTCACAGATTGGTTACATATTCACAAGGAAAATAGTATTATGTATTTTATGCTTTGCATCAACTATTCCCAAGACAACAGAACATTTCAGTATATAATTCTGATATTTTAAGTAAGATTTTGAACTAACATTTTAGCTGCACATTTAAATATATGGGAAAAGTAATCTGATCTCCTGGAGTGTGCTGCACCACTGAATATACATTTTTCTGTTCTCACATTACATAGCTTTGCCACTCATCCTCAACTGAAGGATTCTGAGGGCCAAAAGCAGCATTACACCTCTGTGCAGAATACTCCTTGCTGAGAAAATATTTTCCCAATGAAGTGCTCTGAAAACATACCAACTTGGCACACATATTAGAGATGTGCTTTAAGTTTAAAACTCCTAAGTGCTGAAAATCCCACGATAACTGCACAGATTAAACATAATTTTGGGACCATTCGAGGGGCTTTTCTGTAATTTTCTCACAAGCACATTCACATTCAAAATTAAAAGCATTTACTATTTATAACTTGCTTGAAGTTGCATTCAACTTATTATCCAAGTCTGCCACATATCCTTAATTCTGTGTAAAAAGGATGAGAAAGTGTTTGGGTTTTAAACAACTATTTCCATGTTCGTGTTTCCACAGCTGCACTCAGCACAGACAAGGTAACAGAGTACCACAAAATTCTGCACAAAATTCAGCCATAAAGGAAAGGAACAAGTGGCATAAGGAGAACAGAAGTAAATAATGCCACAAAAGGCAGGATCCCAAGGTGCCACTTTATGGACCTGAGATGTTAAACAATGCCAGAACAGCAGTGCAGCTCTGATCCCACAAAGATAAGACTGAAAAGTGCTTGTGATTAGAGAGGAAAGCATTTCCTAACCCTCTCCCTCCATCCCTGCACCTACATCCTGTTTCACTATTGACCAACAAGCAAAATTTGGCCCCAAATGAGAAGAGCAGGCACACAGCATCACACTGAGCAAGCACATGACCAAATCATACACAGAGTTCCCTTGCCAGGACACTGATCACAGCACCTTTTCTTCTGAAAGCTCTCCCTGATTTTCAGAGCAGGAACACAGCTAAAACCACATCCCTTGTGACTCTCTTCCTTTTCTGGGGATATCCTCTTCCTTCCTTTGAATGCTAAGCTGCTGCCACGTTGTGTCACACATAGCAACTGTCAACACATTGTCCTCTTACAGCCCACTGTGTTCACAGTTCTGGGGCATCTGTGCATCCAACAAAACTTTTAAACCATCTCTGCATTTCCCATAAGACTTCCCTTCAAAGTTGTTCAAAAAGAAGAAAAAGGCACAAGGCAGAAATCTGCACCAGAGCCCAGGCAATATAAAACTGTTCTAGGCTGAAAGTATTTATCCTTAGCCTTTGAATGCCACCTGAATTTTTGTACAAAAACCAAGCAGAATAAAAGACAACTTCTAGAGATGCTGCTGGATTTTCATCAGTTTGTACAGATAATGAGTTTAACCTTTTTTCCTCAGTTCTTAAACCATTAAAAACAAAACTGAAAAAAATACTTGCTCAGTCAAGTGATTTGCTGTGGTTAAAAAATTGCTGTTCCACTTTAACAGGCTACTTACCTCTCTCCTTTTATTAATCTCTTAGATGTCAGAGGAACTGAAAGCACTAGGTGAAAAGTAGGGTTGTGCTACATCACAACTTTCTCAAGTCTTCCAAACCCTTTCTAGCATGACCTGAAAAGTCTTCTCACCTTCAGAACCTGAGACTTCTTAAGCTTTCCAGAAAGAAAAATAGTCAAAGCTACAGTGACAGTATGATGTACATCTCCCATTTTCATCTAGAAACGTAGACAACAGAAATATTTGTGTCACAAAATATTTTTTACTGATATAGTGTTTATATAAGAGACGATCCAGACTCAACAAGAAAAATACCTTAAAACGGTAGTGGTTAAACCAGTAATCATATTCAAACTTTTGAGATTTTTTTCCTCCACACCTGTGTTCTAAAAACTCATTGATAGAAAAGCATGTTTCCATTTTAAAATGCACATTTGTTATATGATAAAATCCCTGGCTTATGATATTAGCAGTAGCTGAGCTCACTCCAAACAGAAGGCAGAAAATCAGTTTCACATAGGGAGGAATTGCTCTCATCTTTTCTATATCTTCAAACCACCAGCCTGCTGAGCTGGTGCATCCTACACCACACAAGAGCATTTTGATACAGAAGAAAATAAAGCAGAACCCCCAAAATCCAGCAATATATTCCCAAAGGCACAGAGCTCAAACGCAGTAATCATTTCAATATTCAAATAATTTCAGCAATTTAAATATGGCTGCAAAGGCACAAGACTAGAAACTGAAGAGGAACAAATAATGATGTGCAACATTTCTCAACAGGTTTCCACTGTGTGATAATTTAACTGGCTTCCTTACTCAGCTCTTTCCACTGCACATGGGTGCTTCTCATGCTTCTACCTCTGGCTTTTCAGACTATTAAACTGCAGCTGTTCCAATTACTGGAAGAGAATAATTAAAAGATGGTGTTGACAGTGCTGCCCTATATATGAGTCAGTTAATTAATACAATTTCTTTGACCATACATCATCGAAATATTCATACCAAAATTCATGTGAAGGGAAAACAAATCTTTGCCTAAGGAGGAATCCAAAGGAAACCACTGCAGTCACAGCTGCAGTCCTCTCAGAGCAGCACTGAAACATTCCCCAAATACAGTACAGAAGAAGACTGGCAATATGCACCTGGCAATGCTTTTACTGAAATGGCAACTTTTCTAGAAACATCAAAAAACTTACTAAGAAACTGTCTTTGACTTAAATTTTTTTAAAATTTCATTAAGAAATTAGCTTTAAAACTGCTAAAGACATTCTGACAATTGTGCCTGTACTTTGACTTGCTACCTGCTTTGCTGTCTCAATTTTTTTTTTTAATTCAAATTTTTTTAATAACTGGGGATAAAAAGACCCTCAGACATCAGATATAAGATACAGCAGTTTTTAGAAGCAGTTGTACTGTAGACATCAAGGTGCATGTGATAG